GTGTGTGTGTGTGTGTGTGTGTGTGTGTGTGTGTGTGTGTGTGTGTGTGTGTGTGTGTGTGTGTGTGTGTGTGTGTGTGTGAGAGAGAGAGAGAGAGAGAGAGAGAAAGAAAGAGAGAGAGAGAGAGAGAGAAGTATTTCAGTTTAGTGTTTATAGTGTTTATTTCTGAAGTCTATTAGTAAAAAATGTTTTAGCAATGTTAAGTTATTCCCAACATTGTCCAAATGGGAACACAGAGTTCAGACTTCGCACATTTTATTTTTCCAGCCCCACCAGGACCACCAGTAGATGTCCTCGTAGATGAATGTGGAACAAGACAAGCCCGCATTTCTTGGAGCAAAGGAGCAGAAAACAATGCCAGAATTTTACTGTACATCATTGAATATAGTGTAGCAGACGATCCTGGCAATTGGGAGCAGCTGAAGAACATCAGTGCCCCCTACAGTACGGTCACCTTAGACCTGGCACCATATAAGTCGTACTCCTTCCGAGTGAGAGCCCAGAATGAGGCTGGAATCGGAGAGCCAAGTGCAGTGACTGAGAATACAAAATGCACCACCCCTCCAGAAATTCCTGAAAAGAATCCTGATAATCCCAGAACAGAAGATCGTCGACCTAAAACTTTGGTTGTGTTATGGGATGTGAGTATTTTTACCTGATATATCTAATATACCATTAATTTAGGTTGATTCTTAGCACACAATGATATATTGCTGTCATTCTTCCTACTTCAGCCACTGACAAAAGATGAGCTGAACGGCCCAGGATTTCATTACAAAATCAGATATCGACGCACAGATCTTGACCGTAACACACCATTCTCAGAGGCCACAGTTGATGATCCGGACCAAGGAGAAATTGTCATTGATTCTGATACCTACAGACCATATGAGATCTACGTGGAGGCAGTGAATGACATAGGCACAGCACAACCCCCTGCACAGAGAATTACTGGCTTCTCTGGGGAAGGAAGTGAGTCTTCAATGGATTTTATTTTTTATTCCCTTTTTTTATTCCCATTTAATTTTTTGAAGGAAGGCAAAAGTCTGTAATAATTTCATTGAGAGGTATTTGACTATGCAGGTAAACACTGCTAATGTGAAGGCTACATATGTTCCTGGTACTTGCAGTCTGTGATGAAAGATATTCAATAAAGATCACAGTATAGCTTTTGAAAATACATTTTTTGGTTGAGTACAGATCTCATTATGTGATCTACCGAAATGCTACAATGCAAAAGGGTTTCCTCACCAACTTTTTTCAGAGGATAATAAGATAGATATTCTTATGGTTTATGCTTACAGAGCCATCCATATTCCCTGAAAATTTCCGTGAAGATGAAGACGAGATGGCCACAGCAGACACAGTTTTTGTGAGGTGGTCCCCCGTTAAGCCAGAGCCTGAAACTGTGAAGGGCAAGTTTATGGGATATCAGGTGAGAGAAAATGATACGATAATATGATATTGGTGAGCGAATAAACATTGCCAGCAAAGGTTTGGGTAGGATGTCAGGCAAGAGAATCTTTTTTAAAATGCTCACTCGTGATCTCTTTGTTCTGTAATTCTGTATTGAACCTAGGGTACATATAAACAATTTGATATAACAGAATAACATTGTGAATTGTAAAAATCACACAGTGTATTGTAAAAGTCACAGATACATATCTTTGAAAATTTGATTTTGTAATGATTGTTACAGATTAAATATATTATTAAATGGTAGCAAAAAATATATTACTCAAAAAAAAAAAAATACTCAAAATAAAATAAACCTGTACTTGTATAATTTATTCAAAATACTGCTACAAAGTGGTCCACCCTCACTGTGACATCCATTTAATGGTACTGACCTCCTCACTTTCAGATTCAGTACTGGCTTGCGGATGAAGATGAATCCAAGATGAAGAGAATCAACGTCAATGCCACTGAAGAGACTGAGAACTCCTATGGCAGAGGACGCAGAGCTGCTGATGATGTCAAGGCGTCCATTCCTGACCTGCCACCTTATGCTGCCATAACTGCCCAGGTGGCCGTCAGGAACAGAAGATTTGTTGGCGATGCATGTCCTCCTATTGATATCAAGACAGCTGAAGGAGGTGAGATATAAATGTGATAAGTAGAAACACAAGCCAAAATACTTTCATACTGTTATCATATAGCCAACTTGGACATAGGCTTTCATCAAACTCATGTAAGTAAATATGTGAAGAGCTATAGTATGTTATAATTTCATCCATTTTTGGAAAGGACAAAAAGATATAGTCTTTTCTTAAAGAGGGAAATGATTAAAAAAGTCACAATAAGATTGTTTTGATGTTTTCAGCCCCAGGCCCAATCACTAACTTTGAGGTGAGTGCCAAGGGCCCAACCCTGATGGACCTGAAGTGGGAGCCCCCTCTAGTGGCTAATGGTATACTGACTGGATACACCATAGAATACAGAACTGGTAAGTCTCCTGACTAATACTGGTTGATACACCATAGAATACAGAACTGGTAAGTCTGGGAGTGCTGGACCATGGTTTCCTTTTCTCTTAAAAAAAAGCTGAACTTTCTCAACTTTAAGTTAGGTTTTGAAGCATAATTATGCTTTTTGCGTATTTTCATGTAATCCCAGCTTGCATTTTTGTGTGGAAGGCTGGGATTGTGGTATTTATTTATTTATTTTGATTGACATTGATTTTTTTCTTATCATAACACAGTAAGTGTCTTTTTTTGAAGTAATTATAAGACAGGAATTTGCATTTAATTAGTCTTTTGTGAAAATAAAAGCCAGTGGTATATATTATAGTCTGTGAAAAGAAGAAGAAAGTCTTGTGCTTAGCATTTTTCATTATTCGTGGCAATGTCTTTTCTCCACCAGCCAATGAGTCTGAAGACTTGGGACCCGTCATGGTGGAAGAGGTCACAGATCCCACGCAACTGACGCTGAGACTCAGTGACCTGGAGCCAGCCACCAACTATCGCATCACTCTCAGAGCAGAGACTGGAGGCGGACTTGGAGAAGAACTGACCAGAGATGCAGAAACCATGGTTATGTGTCGTAAGTTTAGACTTTTGTTGTTGTTTTTGTTGGGTATTATTTATTTTCATTAAAAAAATGCATATGTATTTAGCATAAACAGCAAGTTTACTGATTACTGAAGGAAATCAACTTTGACATTATTTGGTAATTTTGATTCTTAAACAGAGGCGACTTTGGCTCTTATTCTTAAATTTGTGATTGTGTCCAGTTGCAAGAATGATTGGTACAGTATTGTGCTAGGTGTGACACTGAGAGGGCATGTGTATATTATGCACTAAATATTAATTTAGAAAAAACTGGAGCTGCTGTTAACCATGTGTCTGTGACACTGAAATGACTTTCATTGTGGTAGCTATGATCTAAGTTTATCTCAACCATTGTGTTAGCTGTGACATAAGCTTATCTCAACCATTGTGTAAGCTGTGACATAAGTTTATCTCAACCATTGTGTTAGCTGTGGCATAAGCTTATCTCAACCATTGTGTTAGCTGTGACATAAGCTTATCTCAACCATTGTGTTAGCTGTGACATTAGCTTATCTCAACCATTGTATTAGCTGTGACATGAGCTTATCTCAACAATTGCGTTTCAGCACCCAATGCACCAATAGTGGACATTGTGGCTGCAGAGACCAGTATGAGTGTGTCCTGGACGCCAGCCAGTGACAACCCTGGGACCACTTTTTATGTGGAGTACAGGAGACCAGGTAAGGTCATAAACACCAACACATATAATCATGGGACAACTTTCTATATGTCTATATATATTCTAAATCATAATTCTAAATCTTTATAGAAACTAAATTCCATTATCCTTTGAAGATATATTGCTCACTTTTTCCATGTTTTTCAACTACTAGTTGAAGAAACATGAAAACACACAATAAAAGGAATGACACTAAGGGAAATGATTCAGGTATATGTGAAAATTGATGAATTGGTATTTTTCAAAATGACATAAGATTGTATAATAATGTAATCATTCTTCAGATGATAACACGTGGATAAGAATCCCAGCAGAAGAAGGTGTCAATTCAGTGGACATTGGACGTTTGGACCCTGGGATGGAGTATGAAGTGCGAGTGATCGCAAGCAATGACCCAGACAGCACGGAGTTTGAGACTGCTAGTCCCATAGAGACTGTACGGATGGCAGGAGCAGGTGAGCAATAACACTGAGAGAATATGTGCTTTGGATGTAGTTTTTTTAATCTGATTTTGTGTTTAAATTTGTGATAGATACCTTACAGTTGTGTAGTTGCGTTGTAAGTTCAATACTTTTTCTGTTTTGTTCCTATATGATTTGATTTATGGTTGACCAATTTAATTGATTTTAATTTGCTTAGTCATTAATAAATTTTATATTAAAGCTATAATTTATTTATTTATTTATTTATTTATTTATTTATTTATTTATTTATTTATTCAACAATGTATTGATTTGTTTGTTTCTGTTCTGCATCCAGCTGCTCTGACTGAAGAGCTAGGTCCAGGGATCTGGTTTGCCATCCTACTGGCCATCATCATCCTCCTCATCATCATCCTGCTCCTCTTCTGCTGCATCAGGAGGAAGAGCCAAAATAAGTATAATGGTAAGATGGTGTTTTTTTATGAATTTTTTTTAATTTAAAAAGAAATTTATAACTATTCAGTTTGTTTTATATGAGAGACAGGAAAATGTATATTGGTAATTTTTTTTAATTAATTTTTTATTGATTTCTTTTTTCATTTATTCAGTGATATTAATTTTTGGTCATGTATTATTCTTCAAAGGCTTATAAGCCCAGGGGTACTTTTAATCACTCTTTGTAACCATCAGTGTTGGTTTAATTGTGCTTATGTCAAGAATTGACACAATTATCATGATACTGTAGCAATTAATTGGACTTGGGAGTGGAAACAAAAAACAATGAAATACAAAACCATATTATGTCCATGTATGGCTTATTAACATAGACATCAAACAGAATTTTATTTATTTAATTACACATGTATTATTATTATTGTTGTTATTATTATTTCAGTGGAGGAGAAGGAGAAGCTGCGCCCTCACTCTAATGGACCCCAGTTCTCTGAGTTCAGCAGAGGGTAAGGGGGAGGTTGGTTCAGCATGCTTTCTGCTTCTTTCTTCTCTTCTTCCCTTTATCACCCTGAGTGTCATATGAAACTTTTATCCTTCTGGTAATCAGCTGATGCTTATGTGAGATTGTCTTGACGTGGAGGAGAGATACTGTGAAGACTATGACCCTCGGGGTGATGCTATCCAGAAACTGCTCCAGAAATACTGATCTTTAGTGTCCTTTTAAGTTATGATAAGCAATGTCTGCTACTATATTGAATGATAACCTTAAAATTGATTATAAATTCTGTTATTTGATGTTTTTTTTTTTTCATTTATGTTAAATCATTATTTAAAAGGATTTTTTATCAATAAAAATTTTTAGTAATTAAAATTTGAAGGCAGACATAACATGTTTATTAATTTGCGTTTTTTTCCATGTGAGTACATGCAATGTTTACATGATAAGGTGAAATTCATCTTTTAAGAGTGACAGGCATTTCATACATTATGCAAAGTATATTTCCTCAATATTCTCCATGATGCATGCTGGTCTACGATCCTCTTGCTTTATATATACTTCTGCCACTGTCACAGCTTTCAAAACAGTGATGTATAAACACCATGCAGCTTAATGAATCTTTTCTAAACCTTTTACTTGTGCCCTTTCAACCTTCACAGCCACTTGCAGAAGCTTTTACACTTTGTTATACATGTACAAACAAATTTGTTGTGTTTAGATTCACACTTTTCAATTATTTTCTTTATCCTGTTTGGATGTCTACCTTAATTTGCACTTTATGAAAGCAAAATAAATTTTACCAATTAAAAGGAACTTGCCTTATATACTTTGTCCTGTATAAGAGCAAAATCATATTACATTTTATTTGCCATATATACTTTTTCTCATAAGAGAATATTTTATAGTTTTATTTCTTATGTATACTAATTTTTTCTTTGAAAAATGCAAAACAGATTTAAAGTATAGATTAAAGTATAGTTTTGGAAAGAGGAATTTGCATACATGTACATATAATAACTATAACAAAAGTTACCAGTCTGAGTTTCTATATAGGTCATAAAATTATATATAATTTGTATTCAAACAGAGCTCCAGGATCTCAAGAACCCCTTGAACCAGAGGATGCGGACAGACCAGAGAGTGAATCAGATAGCATGGATCAATATGGAGAAAATGAACTCGGGAAGTTTAACGAAGATGGTTCTTTCATTGGCCAATATGGCCGCAGCCAGCCTGGCGCTAAGGGACAGGATTCGTCGCGCTCTGCAATGCAAACTTTTGTTTGATTTATTAAAATTAGGACTTTTGCTATTTTCTAAACTGTATAATCAAAAATTGCCAATATATATCAAACTTGTCAAAATGGATGCCGTCAGCCAACTTTATTATAAGATGAGAAGTGTGCTAGCTATGCATAATTTGTGTGATTTTCATGGACTTACAACAGCCATTTTTACAGCTGTTTAACCTTGGACCCATGAAACATGAACGTATACAATTGTATCATGGATCCTGGGTTGAATTTAAAATAAAAGTTTCATAGCTTAAATTTGTCCTCAGACAGGCCTGTGGACAAGTAGGGGTAGGTGGGTTAGAAATTTTTAAAAACTTTGGGCCATAAAAGATCCCCTCTGAATCAAATTATGATTTAGATTTGATGCCAAGTTGGGTCAACTAAATTAAGAGATTATTTAAAGATTCATTTTTAAAGAAAAATAACCTTTATTTCCACCCCCCTTTGAAACTACTGGCTATGCAGGCCTGTCAGAGCTTGGCTGGGTGTACAGAGAAGAGTAGGGAATGATGGCTTGATGTAGGTGTTTGGTACCACACCCTGTGCTTTACTATGCAACTTCTTTAAGAAATAATTGCTCAATTTTATACTGCCATTTTTCTGATTAAATAAAATATTGTTGTTACACTTGTAAAAATAAGAAAATGTTCCCATTTGTATGAAGTAGTTGGAATTTGTAAACAAGATTTTTTAAAACATGCAGTTTTTAAAAACATCTCTAAGATTGATTAAGTTTTCTACGTACATTAAATGATTATTCATAATAATACTGAACTATTTTTAAGATAATTAATTAGTTATATTGGTAAACTGATTGATATATTTATAGGAATTTTATTAGCCATGCACTTTCTAATGAGGATAAGAAGTAAGAAGTAATTAGTTACAGTTCAAGGGTCTGTATCCACAAAAGATGTGTACGCCAGAGGTTGGCCTAAAGTGATAGACAGTTTCTGTTTTTGAATGGAATGCTGCAGAATTATCATGAATGTTGAAGACGACCTAAGATATAGGTCTTAAATTTCAGGCAACCTTTTGTTCCAGTGGTGTAACTTGAATTGGGCCTTGTTCTCTGGGATTGCGATACACTGTAGTTGACTTACTAGTACGGTGTAATCGAGTAATCACTTTTCTTACTGAAATGCATTTCCATTACATGCAAATTCTCCAGGGAAATTTGAATTCTTCTACATTGCAAACTCGTGTAATACCTGTTCATACACAAATTGTTTTGTTCTTGGATAACACACTCAGTCATGATAACATATATTGCTCAAATGCCAAAGATTATTATAGGAAAGATTCGCAGCTTTAAAACAGTGATGCTTTGTTTTGCTAGGAATTTAACTTTATTATTTTTCAGATTTTGATTGGCAACATGGAGGGTGTTACAGCAATGACTTGATCTTTTTACTGGGGAAAAATTATTAATCTTTAATTCAGGCACATAATTTTGAAATCATTAAAAATTATGTTCTGTAAAGCATTTTTTTTACTGTACAGAGCAGGACTATAGGGTAGCATTCTTTTCAATTGTTGCTGACCCTCAAGAGGAATGTTCTAATTTTAAGGATTTCTTTCTTTAAAAATATACTTGGTCTATCTGCAAGATTCACAATTTACCTGTTGAAAAGATCGAGACATTGCTGTCCTTTTATACAAAACGAAAACATATCCTTTCCTTATTTGCCGGCTTTTTGTTTTTTATTGCTTTTAATTTAGTCTGTTGTTATACAATGAAACCAAGTCATACAGTATAGAAAGATGTTTGTTCTTTATATGCCCTTTCTTTATAATGCTTTAAAAAACCATGGAAAGCTTGGGAATTGGATGTGTATATTTGCATAATATATAAATCTGATTGGGCTTACTTGTTGCATTAGTTTTGCAATTTGACATTTATAATAGCTAAAGAATGTGTTTTGATCTTATTTATGTGCACAAAATGCAGTGTCAATGTGTTAAATAATTTTTTTTACATATAATGATAAGGATTAGGTTCAAGTCAAGAGTACATGCCAATAGCAACAGAAAAACTTGGTTATTTGAGGAGAAATAGAACTATGGCTAACTTTTCTATTTGGGTGGAAATAGAACTTGTGTGAAGGAATATATAAAAACTGTAATTTGAGGTTTTTTCAAATGGATAATTAATTCAATGTCTTATTAGCAGCAGTTGTAATACTGTCAGAATATTACACGATCACTAGTCAAAAGATAAATTTTTTTTATGTTTCAGAAAGTTGTTGCAAGGAACTAACTCTTAACTTGAACAACAGTTCCAAATTTGTTAATATGTAAATACAGCAGGGGATCAACCATATGCCCTATCCTGTGGGACACGCTTACCTCATGAACACTGCACGCACACATACATGTACATTTGATATGGATTGTAGTGCGTGCAGACAGAATATACAGGATTGATAGGTGTTGATCACCTTGATAATGAGGTGTTCATTTTTTTTACCAGTTTGTAAAAAGTGTTGTATAATTGTGTAATTTGATCCCAAATGTTTTGTTGATATGTGTATTGTTTATGGTGCTCAATAAAAGCTGAAAGCTTACCAGATTTTCCTTTTGAGTTTTCACTATTAATAAATGTCAAATAGCCATTTCAGTTTTTAAAATTTATAATTTAAATCACAAAAAATTCTTGTATCGATATTTTTTTCTTGCATTTTTTCTTAGCCCTTTTAAATACGTTTTTTAAAATTTAATTTAATATTCATTAAGTTTCATTATACAATACTTATTGGGGATATTTTCATCAAAATATACATCAACAGAACTTGTAATCAGTTTCTTTTAAGTTCTTTAAAATGGACAAAAACATTTAAAGAATCAATGTCTTTATTCATAGCCATTCTTACACAATTTTATGTATCACAATTACTTTTAAAATACTTTTCATGCCCAATAATGGCGTTAGCATTAAACTGACTTGCCACTATTTACATTAACCACTCTCAATCTCAAAGAAAACAATATTCCCTTGTTTTCATACAGCAAAAAATGTAACAGTTCTGCTGAAAAAAATTCAGATGTGTCCTTAAAAAAAATGTAATATGCCTGTTCCAAAGTGACGCTACTTCCATGTAGAGAATTTTTCCATCTCATCTGCTGGAATTAAGACATCCACAGATTTTTTTACTTAAAAACTCTGCACTCAAGAGTCAGGAAACTCCTTATGTGTATGTTTATATATACGGCAGCCACCAGGCACATAGTGTCTATGACAGCCACCAGGTGGCAGTGTCAGTCTATGTGAAGAAATAAGCCAGTTCTTCCTCCTCTTTACTGGCCAACAGAGCACTGTCATCCTCCTTCTTCTTCAACCTTGGGGGTTCTGACCTCTCCACTAACTTCCTGCCCAGCTGGAAACAAAACAGGGATGTGATTTATTATTATCTGGTATTCTGGTATGTATTACATTTGACTGAAAAACCTTTTTAATTTCAAATCTAAACTGTAAATTTGCCACTTGTTCCAGCGTTTTCAGCCAACTGGAGGTGAAAAAGGATATATTTTAGAAGTATTAGGACTTCAAGTAAATCTGGTATTTAAGGGAAAAACTTTATTTTATTTCTAATTTTATTTCTATTCACTGCTACAGCACCTCCCCAATCGTTTTCCAGTAGAGCGTTTTTTTTTTTTTTTTTCACAGCCCGAACCCCCTTGGCTAGGGACCTCTACAAGTTCTTACCTTTTTCTTTGGCTCTGCCTTGGCTCTTTCCAAAGCACGCCGCACTCTCTCCTCCTGGTGTAGCCTCTGCTGCTCCATCTTTTCTTCTCTTTGTTTCAAACGCCTTTCTTTTTCTTTGGACTAGAATGAAAAAGTAAATTAAATTAAAACCTTTTGCTTCATGATGCATTCAGATTTTGAAACATTATGGGCATCTAGCCATGACTGTCAACAACATACTGCTTTTTATGAAAAATGCACCATCATCATGTTTTTTAAAATTATTTTTACCTGTAGGGAGACTTTTATTTGCAATGCTTGCTGTATGTGATCAGCTCTATACTATACCCACCTTTTCTGCAGCTTCCACCTTGTCTTGTGGCATCATTTCTATTTGTTCAAACAGTTCCTCAAGTCTGTTTTCTATGTTGGTCAGCATTTGTAATGTACTGGAGAGAGAAAGAGAGAGAAAATTGTTGTTTAAATTGTTTAAATGTTTTAAGATAAAAATTCATAGGAAAATATGTAAAACAGAAAAGCCTTTTATGCGTAATGTAGTAGTACATGGATGTACATTTAAAAATGTTTAAAAACTTATTTTGTTGTCACAATTATCATTGTTAAAGGTTGAAATCCAGCCCTCTGAAATGTAAACAAGTGACTTCATTTCAATATGATCAACATGCATTTCTTTTCTTAAAAAAATTAATAAGTTAAACTTCATAATTGCTTCACAGATTTCTTCTCATGCTTTGATCATGCAATGAAAAACAAATGAACACAATGATATCAAAATGCTCCATGCATTTCTGGAAATCTTTAAAAACCTCCACAGCATTTAAGTGCACTGTTATATGTTTTTCCCCACTATGTTGTGTACAGCATATTGTAAATATATGAGCAGCTTTTAATCTGATAGCTACTGGCCATTTGCACACTAAAATAATCTCGTCAACAAAATATATAATGGAACACAAGGAAAAAACAGGAAAAAATGTCAAAATATCTTTCAATAAAATGTAAAATATAACTTGTACAAAATAAATTAAATTCAAGAAATAGGAAATCCAGGCAAAGGCACAAACTGCAATTAGTGATAAACTTCTCGTTGAATTAATACCTTTCAAACCTGTTGTTGTGAGTGGATCTGAGGCATAATAATAGTGGTCATAAAAAGGAATACTTTTCATTTAAATAAAAATGAATGAGCTACTGTACTTCTACAAATAAGTAAGAGTCACACCTCTAGGTTTTTAATTTTAGAATATAAAAAAGCATATCATAGTCTATAATCTACTGTCAAGTGCGCAGTCCTAGATCTAAGACTATACTTACTAGCCGTGACTAGAGACATGACAGAATTGGTATGCATATTAGTACTCATAATATGACAAATACCATATAAGTATATTCCAATACACAGGAATTGAAAAATCCTAATTGGACGAATATATTAAAATGACATACTTGTATGTTCAATAAGTGAAATGGACACTCTTAATGATTCATTTTTCTTAAAGTCTGTTTTTTTGTAATAATCTTTTATGAATAAGAGATTATTTGGAGGTATAGTTATCTATGAAGGTCAACATTTTGAAAAATACACCAAGATGCATTGTGATACGCAACTCAGTAGGCTAATACGTTTAGCAATCTTAGCTTAGACAGACTAGTGACTTTAGTCATTTTTAATTAGCAATCCAGGCCCCAGGGCACCTGTCCCTACCTTATATTAGCCTCATTGTCTCCTATGCAGGCTCTGTAGACGTGTTCTACCTTCTGGTTCAGCTCTGCTAGCATTCTCTCCTGGTCCTCTTGGTTGAAATCACCAAAGTTAAACATCCTGTGAATATAGAAATAAAGACTTTCAAAACAATTCCAAAATAAAGGATTCTTTGATTTGGAAATTAAATCTCTTTCAATGACAATACAATATTTTACCCAAAAAGAAATTTATATAAAAATAAGAACAATTATAGAAAATAAATTAACAAATAAAATAAAATGATAAGCAGTTTTGATTTGTTTATCATTACTATTATACTTCTCCAAATACTTAACATCTTACAAGTCAGAATGGGATAAAAATAATTATGCAAAATAATTCAAATAGTTATCCAGCATGTCTGTGAAAACACCAAAGTTAAACAATTCTCTTTTTTTTTTATAAATTATTGTCACTTTAAACTTCCATCTCACCTGGCCTTCATCTCCAAGTCTTTTGCTTTGGTTTCTTCTTTTCCTATTGCAGTGTTTAGTTTATCTATCTGTTCTTTTAATACTGATGTTTCCTTTTCCCTATAACAAAATGCAGAGTAATAAAATAACAGTTTAATGTGATGAAGCAGATTAGCATAAATGGATGACAAATTTGATGAAAGGCCACCCATTACACTATACAAAACATGATTTACAAAACAATGATACCATCAAAAATGATATTTTATTCTTTTTTGTTTGTTTTCTTTGTTTTCTTTCTCTTTTTTCAAGTTTTCATAAAAATATTCACATTAGTGGCAAACTTTGATCTTTAACAAAATAAACAGAAAATTAAATTATATTCACTTTACTCACATTTTTCTCTTTGTAGACTTAATATTTTGTTTCATTTCCTCCAGAGCCTCCTCCGTCTCCTGGGAGTTTTGGATGAGGGATAAATTTTGTTCCTCCAGTTCAGCAAAAATATCCAAAAGTTGCTGAGAATCAGAAAAGTAAAGCTCTGGTTCCTGCAAAAAAGACATTCTTGATCAAATAGTTTTGAAATAAAATAAAATTGAAGGTAGAAAAAAATATCCAGCTTTGAAATAAACCAATTTATACTATTTGCTTCAATTTAACTATTTTGAATATTTTATTTTTCTAATTTTCAATCCTATAAAATTACCTAAAAAGAAAAAATAATAAATCTGCCATTTTTTTCATCTCTGCACGTTTTGTAGTCTCAAATTCACATCATGTTAAATTCTAAAATGTATAATTTCCTGCACATAATAAATAAATTAATAATTAATAAAGAGGAAATACAAAGTTCCGTGAACTGTAGCCTGACCTCATCCGTTTCCTCCTCTTCCTCCACGGCCTGGGTAGCAGCAGCCACACTCTTGGAGTCCTGTGTGGCCTGACTGGGAGTTCTGGAAGAGAGAAAAACAAAGTGATATTTAATGTTCTTTTCCTTGACTTTAGTCACGACATATCACATGGAAATGTAAAGAAAGTGTAGCTATCACTTGTATTTCATACGAGAAAAATGATATAAGTAGATGATACTCTCATCCCTTATAGGCTAGTTTTCTAAAAATCAAATACATAAAAATATTCATAAAAAAAAGGATAAAATGGATCATATTTCACTATAGTAAATCATCTTAATTTTTTTTTTTAACGTGAATTATAATTGTAGTTTTAAAAAAAATCACAGTACCTTGCACGTAGCAATTGAGTTATCTTTAAAACTACCCCATGTTCTTCTTACCTCCGTAACTCCTTGGTTTTTCCAAATTTGGAGAGTTTTCTCGCGTCTTTGGCACCTGTTCCACGACTGCTCTCACTGGGTGTGCCTTAAATTGAAAAGTGAATAAATTATTCTAAGATTATTTTTATATCTATTTTGAAAGTAGTCCTTATATTATTTCCCTGTATGCTTTAACACCATTGTTTATATATTTTAGATAAAATGTACAACACAATAAAAATGGAATACACTACTAACAGTAATTATAAAAAATACATCATCATTAAATAAATAAATAAACAAGCACCAGTATGTTTTAAGATATATCTATTTCCATCACTAATTGCCATTTTCACTAATGATGCTGAATTTCTGTAAAATAAATTCTGAAATTTTAAAGAACAAAAGTGTAGTTAATTTCAGGAATCATATTGTATGTCCTTACTGACAAGTTTCCTATTTTGTTCATTCTTTTCTTTTTCCTTCTTTTTCTGTTCTCTCCTTTCATCTTGAACTTTCTTTCTTTCATCCAGCCAAACCTGTAAAGAAATAAGCTAAAAATTGATATGTGTAATGAAAGAACAAATCTGCACACACAAACACACACTACAAAAATACATTATGTTAATTAGAGCATAATATTCTGATAATATATGTTATATCTGTACACTTGGTGTGTGATAAGTGGTAAGTACACTTAGAGTGTTATTCCCAATGAAACCATCATGATCCACTCCAACTCCCTGAACGCAATCAGATTAACACATTAACAGACCTCCTCTTGTTTCCAATGAACTGTTACAATCTTTTTTTTTTTATATTATACCCAATGCCTGGAGGAGGTGTGTTAATCTGTTAATTTGATTACATTCAGCAACAGTCCTAGTGGAGTTGGATTGGTCTACAGAGAAAAATAACTAAGAATGAGCTCTAAAATATCACTGGGAAATTTCTGCATTACTACATGTATGAACATGCAGATAAAGGGATGGAAAAGGTGAGTTTCTAAGCAAACGAAGCACATGACTTGTCAAATATAAACCATTCCATGTTAAAACAGTGAATATAACTCAATATAACTCACATTTGGGGTAAGAGACTCCAAGAACCCCTTATACAGCTGGTATTCCTTCAGCAGCTCCTCATACTTGGAGATCTCACTCCTGATTCCCATCATCTGAGCAGTGATCCTCTTGATCTCCTGTACCTTCTCGATCTTTGCCTTGGTCTCTGCCTCAGCTCTGGAAGGGAGACAGGGAAGCCAAGTTTACAATAGCAGGACTGGTGAGAATACCCCGAGATTCATAGATTACTGGACACTCATCTCTATTATCAGGGTGTGTATGTTGCTTTCAGTTATCTCTGATATTTGAGTGGGTGAAGCTTGTCAAACACAGATATAAGAGTACTTGGCTGTTCTACATCCTTCTAATAGTGTTAAGAAAAATTTTAATTGTTTTTTTTTCAAATCGAGTGGCATATTACCAAATAGTTTGGGTGAAATTCATGTTTTTTTCATATTAACTTGTGGCCTTGTTTGATTTTGAAACTCCAACTTCAAGTTTGTATCAGGTGTAAATCATGCTGACATAGAGATATCAAAGGTATTCTTTCAAACATAGACAAAACGTCAGATGACAAATTTGCAGAAATAGTTCAACCTAAGAAATGTCACCAAATTTTCTAAAAAAAAAAATAAGAAGAGTCAAAACAAATCTGCTGAAGAGACTTACGCTCTGATGGCATCAACAGAATTCTTGTCATTTTCCTTGAGGAACTCGTCAAACATGGCAGCATCTTCCTCCAGATACTGCTCCGCCATCTCCAGCTTACGCTCCTCAGCGTGTGCAATCTCCTCCAGTTTTCTCATCTCGTCTCTCTTCACACCCAGGGAGTACTGAGGAAAGAGAGGTTAAAATGTTATTATAACAATATTCTTGAGTATTCTCATCTTTCAAATGAAACAGGTATAGAGGATATCATATAACTCTTCTTTTTTCATCTTTTCACAATTTGTCAAGACTTCTTGAATATTTTCCCATCCCATTTGAAAACAATCTAATACTGAATATAGCCTTTCTTACTATATCAAAAATTGTATGTGTAAAACTCTTTCTACGCATAAAATACTCTGGTATCTTTTTATGACATATCTCTTGAAATCGTATATAATCTGTTGGTATTCAATTTAAAACAATTCAATATTATGATGGGAATGCCTCAACTTTGTAACTACATTATTCTAATCACAAATAAATTAGGATTAGTGCTGATGTGAATGTGATCTGGGGGGAAATTATATTCTTTTCTTTACCTGCACCAAAAACATTTCTCTCTTTTTGGAAATGTAATCTGCCAGAGATTCTTTCTCCACATGTCGATCTAAAAATGAATAAAATCAAAAATAAAATAACACAAAATGTCAGTCATTTTTAAAATTTTATTTTAAATAAACAACCAAAGTTTACAAGTGCCTCTTTTTGAACAGTAATTCAGGATGTCATAAATCTAAACCATTTAATATAAAAAAAAAAGGATTAGCTGCTGGAGAGTCTATGGTGGATTTCTGATTCAGTAATAAGCCACAGGTACACAATACACTACAATGAACAACAGAAAAGATACTGAATATATTCCAACAATATAACCTTAATTTTTATGCTTTGTTCTATAAGTAAAAGATTCTTAGAAATAAAAGCCAGGGTTTTTCTTCACATTTCATGCTTTCTTCAATTTCTTATCCACTTTCTTTTGTCATTCATTCTGCTGACTATAAACCAAAACCTACCTTTTGTGACTGCAAGGACAAACTGCGGGTCTTCCTTAACAGCTAGTGCCTTGTCT